ATACGTACTGTGTACAATTCAATGTGAATAAAAGGGAATTTTTCACGTGTTCGTAACATTAATCGACGTACATAATTAATAAGCGCTTATCAACGATAAATAAATCGATAGAAATCAAATATAAAGGATATCATTTTTCAACACATCAATTGAAATTAATCCTTTTGATTTAAAATAATAATGGTTACATGCAATTTGCATTTGACAGGTGTAGGTTCAGCCACATAAAAAAAAGATTTATAATAAATAGAACGTACTTATTGGGCTAGTGACCAATGCTTTTAAGCTAGCTTCATTTATTTTTATTTTCAATTCACTTTAAAAAAATAAAGACCCACGGAATTGTGTAGATTTTATGAATTTTGAATATTGAGTGATCTCTACATGGTGTTAAAAATTTACTCTATATAGTCTGTTTGAATTTTGAAGAACTGTCAAATGATTTCTCCTTCACATAAGCACGCAATGTATAATCGGTGTCACATCGATTCACACATTTTCACTTTTAGTCTTGGAATTTGTGGAATTTTAATAGATTGAACTGGTTTTGGATTCGATTAAAGGCAATATGAAACGATGACGAGGCCGTGCGGAAAATTAATGGCTTGGGGCCGAAACTAATTTAGTTAAACGGTGTTGAACGTCGCTTTTATTATCTATTTTCGTATCTACATAATTTAACTATTTAATATATTTATGGTATTTAGTTTGAGTCCACTATCCCCTTAAAGGTCATGGAATTTTAAAGTTAAGTGTCTTCAGGCTTCTTGGCTAAATAATTATTATGTTAAATATTCAATTAATAGGCCATTAAATATAATGTGCGAAGCGTAACCGTAAATAAAATATCATTCAATTGTTTTCAATGTAAAAAATATCGCAGTAAGAACTAATTAATAATTTATAAGCTTTAATTATATTTTTCAATCTTTGATAAAAATATTTATCTATATTTCCGCTATGTGAAACGAAGACGTATTATTTACACAATATGTTCGGTAAAAAATGCAGTAATGAATAATTTGTTAGAGTTCATTCAACCGTGAATCCTGTGGTCCTATCACCCGGTTGCGTGTTGCGAGTCCTACGATAACATTAAGCGGTGTTATTATACTGTTCACTGAGGGAAAGATAAGTTACAAACAACGTTGCTAGAGTCGCAAGCAAAACGATACTGACGCGAATTCGAATACGAAGAACTCCCATTTTCATTCAAACAATGACAAGGCAACATTAATGCGTTTAGCCGATCGGCTATGTTGGTCGAAAAAGGACGGGGTAATTATCCCAGAATGCCTTTGCGAGCTTTTTATAAGGGCGAAAAGCCGTTTATCCGTGTTATGGGCGAAAAGCCGCGTATCCACAATGTTTTGGAACTCCCGTAACAGCTCCTAATAGTCGATACGTTTGTGCTTCTGATGTGGTCGTGTCTGGAGTAGGTGGAGTAAGCGTCATTTTATGGCGATGCGCATATCATCTCCATAATAGCACATTTTGTTGCGACCACAGCGTTTACCCCGTTTATCATATATGAAGAAAAATATGGAGCGAAAACTTTTGATTAAAACATGGCGACGGGGGCAATGTGAACGTGCTTTTGCGCAGTCTGCGGCAAATGGGGTTGGCGTTTTGCTGTCACACGCTCTTTTAGGGTAGGGAAAGGGTGAAAAATACCAACGGTGAACGAAATGCTCAACGAAAGATGCGATAACACAATGAAAGTTATATTTTTATTATAACATCACCGACATAACAAATAAGAACTAAACAAAGTATACGCGTCTAACATTTCTTTATCAAGGCTGTATAAGATTACTCAGTGCAAAGCTTTTCTATACAACCTTATTGGTTAACTGGTGCCAGCGCAAAATCAATAATCTGCAATATGCTAGTGTTCATAAATCACTTCCACTTCACTTAAGTTCAGCCCGTGATAAATTACTGTAGAATTAAATTCGTGGTCAGCATCCGATATCAACAAATAAAACGTGAATAAATATTTACGAATAACTCTAATACGACACGGTATTCTATAATATGTATGTATGTGGTGTATGTCACAACACAAACATCTAAAAAAAATCTTTTTATTACACAATATTTATTGTGTAATCTATACTAATATTATACAGGAAAGTAGTATGTTTGTAGATTGGAAGTGTAATCTATACTTAATATTATCATAGAGATCAATGATGTATGAGATTGTATGTTATGTCTTGGGTGTTTAATATGTATTTATAGGCTAAAAATATGTACTGGAATCCGATTTCATAAAAATTCTTTCACCAGCTTGAATGGGACTAGGTCAATTTCGGTGTGAATTGTGCAATCAAATACTGATAAATATAGGCTATTTTAATTGCCAGAAAAAAATAGAATCCCTACTAAAAAAAATAGAATCCCTACTAAAAATACAATTACCCAAGGTTTAAAAAAATGCCTATAAAATATCTTTCATCAATAAATGTCCACCCGTGCGAAGCCGGGACGTGCTGCTAGTAATTAATAGTTTAAATCAATAATAACTTTTAATCAATACATTTTATAAGATAAATGAAGGAAATTGTATTTGGTTGGTGAAGTTAGTGTGTGGCTATAGGAGACTTACGCCTAATCTTAATAATTAAATTACCTTCGGACGATATTATCGAATAAATATTAACTTCACAGGCTTTTCTGATGTGAATAAAGTTTAACACGTGTTCGAGAGTGTTGTAAGCGGTAATTGGCCATTTTCTATAACATTATTAGTTACGATTGCAGTTGACATTTAACATACAGAAATATAATGGGCTTTAGCATTTCGTAAGATATTCTTATAGAAATAGAAGCAACACCTAATTATGAAGATTCTTTCGCTCGAATCTTGGTTGCGGTTGCATGTTGCAATGAAAACAAAGGCTGGTAATTTACTGTCGGATGGCGTACGGTTTTATTTTATTGTATTTTTTATTTAGGAAGGCTGAGTGATGAATGATGCGCTGTTGGTTCCTACGGCTTTTTGATACTATAATTTTGTTGCGGCTAATAGATCAACTAGTTTTATAGGTATTTATAGGGAACAAAACACACTTGTTTGAAATGTGTCGATTTGTCGACTTTTTGTATGAGGAAAATCCATTCAAACGGAAATATAATATAACCAAGCTTGATTGTAATTGAATAAATCAACCACAAGGATTAATATAATAATATAACAAAACAGAAATGAAAGAAAATGAAATATTTGAAAAAAAAGGAACGAAAGGAAAACATTTTTATATAACCGATAAGTATATATGAGGAAAAAGAAGTATAAGACTTCGATATAGTAAATGATAGTAATGGATAATGATTAGAAAAGCTATGGAGTATAAAGCTTACATAATATGAGATTCCTAAATTATCAGCTACGACCTTCACAACCACATCAAACGAGTTCAATAAACATGATAAAACTTGATATATTTCCGAATTGATATTTCCCAGAAACATCATAAATCTTAACTACGCATTATGATTATTATATGTATCGGAACTAATTTAAATATTTACTCAAAAATATCCAATTAGTTTTAGTCAATTATTTAAATAAAGTTTTTAAAGTAAAATTTACCGTCTCTGGTATTTAGTGTACGTGTACTAAAAAAATGACGATAATAAAAAAACAACTGATCGCCCAAATTTATCAATACTACGATTGTGTATCGCGTCAAGTGTTCAACGACATATTATTTTTTAAATACTCGTACAATATTTTGCTTCTAATAGCCAATACAATAGGTATACTGTGATTAGATAGCTAATACATCGGCGTGAAAGAACTTTGTTTTATAAACTACCAGTTTTGTGGGAATGCAACTTGAATAATGTTTAATCAGTGAACCGTCCATTGTCTGGTGTTGCGTGCTATGACGATACATTACTCGTTAAAGTATGTAATTTTACCCCGTCTTGCACAATGTTGGTCTATAAACTACGTTAGACTTATACGTCGCAATTTTAGATCATAGAAAAAAGAGATGACATACCGTCCTTCCTTTTGTAGAGAAATTGCAGTCTGTATCGGTGAAATATGTTTTAACAACCAACGTTTAAGACAATAAGGAGACACTATCATGAGCTGTTATAGTGCTGTATGTGCCTCGTGCAAAGAAGACTTATTTTGGTAGATACTAGTTTTATACTAAACAATCAAGAATCCGAGTAAAAAAACAGTACAAATTAAGATATTTAAAAATATAATACCTAGTACGCAATCTATATACGAGATGGCAAACGTTATTACAATAAAATATTAATAATGTTGCCTTTCAATTTAATATAAATTGGTAGGAAGGGAAAGATAATTTTCTCTTCTATTTTGATCCAGCAACAGTAATAAAACTATGTCCTACTGCCATACAAAACATAATGATATAGAAATGATGACAAAACTAGTTTACAAGAGGTCAACCATAGTCACGTATGCAATTTTCTTTTGCAGGACGCAAGTCGGACGGCCGCAGTTCCGTATATCATTCATATTGATAACTACACTCTTGATGGCTAGTTGAATTAGTGAGTTGAAACGCAACTGGTTATTACGCTGTAATAGCTGATCATTTTAAAAAGTCAGCCTGATTCAATTGGGGTATCTATGCTCAAGCAATAATTTCTACAATATTAGTGTTATGTTATTTTGAATATAAAAACATATTTTGTTACTTTTGGCTAACGTTGGGTCGTTCTGTCTATTTATATAACAGGACATTGTTATTAAATACAGTCGATATGTTATATTATTATGTAATTTAATTTAATAGTCGCCCATTGAATATAAAAATAAAAGTAAGTCATACGTTGTGAAAACCATTGTTGTAATGAAGGTAAGCCAGTCACTAACGAATACGAATGTGACGACACAATCTGATTAGAGCCGCAAAAAGAAATCTAATGATGCTCTTGACGCCTACAAATATGTAATGTGTGTCAATTAAAGTATCCCAAATTATCAGCGGCTAGTAGAAGAACAAAACTTACCTTTCTACTAAAGGATGTACATTATCAAGGAACTCGTATCCTGCATGCGTCGTATAAGTGATCGTTTCATGGCACGCTAAGAGTCCGTGATCCGCTCGTATAAAATTCTTCAAAACCCAGAACTCTCCACGCTGCTCTGTTTGAGGCAGCATATCTCTGTCATTGCATCCTAACAAGGTACGAAGGTACGCCAAAGTTGTTGGCGATAGACTGTCTTCGTCCTCTATATCAATACTAGTCGCATTAGACGCATCTGGTTCAGGAACGGCACTAATTACTTTCCTATCTACTTCAGGCGCAGATGCTGTACTAGATGCGGTTTTATTCGTAGTCGCCATGGTGGATGGCGTTTTCTGAGACGTCGACTCTTCATAATTTCTAGCACTGGATTCTACGTTTCTCCCGCTTGATTCAAACCGGGTATAAGTATCATTTCTGTCTTGATTAATGTATCTAAATTCAGCGGTTCTTTCCGCATCGACGGGGACCCAATAAACCCCGGGTGTCGTATTCCCTGATAGCTGCATAGCTGCGTATAACAGCACAGCTATGTTTATCACAATGCTCACTCTAAAAAGGAAGTTGCGACGGTTAGCCACCATTTTTGTAGTTTAGGCACTTGTGCTTACGTTTAGAACTCTAATTGTTACAACGTCCTCCGTCGTCCTCTAGGACGTAGTCTTCTGTGGGGTATTGTGCGTGTCAGCATTACAATTTATTGTGACATCAGCAGGCGTGTGGATGTGGGCGCCGTGGTGGCGCCTCGTACTATTCTCGCTCCTGCAACAAGAAAAACATATTTAATGAATCGACTAGTATTCATAGAGTAAAATGTGTCGATGACATTAGTTATAATAGTAACGATATTTTTACATGGGAAAATCTTTAGATCAAACATGTTACAGATAATTTAATACAAGCTCGAAGCTTAGCACGTATTAAGACGACGTAATTAACCCACTCTTAGATATTCACATCACGGTTTTATCCAACATTCCTATTGCGATTAGCATTTCTTGTCAATCCTTAATTAGCAAGTCTTGTTCGGGACTACGTTTATCAGCGCAAAATCATTGCAATTCTGATATTATCTGTGCCGGTTGGGCAAGTATCCGATTAATCTTAGGTTCAAATGGCCTATAACGAGAAAGATTATGAAAAGGGAATGACATTGCTAGTTTTTATCTGATTCAGAATAAATTAATATTAATCATGAAGACGGTTATAGCCATATGTGATGTCCTGTACCATGGTAAGGTATGTCATCTAAGTCTTGACTAGAACATATTTACTCTATAAATGGCCGGCCTCTAGCGGATTACATTTACAATTGACGGTTTTTATATAACTGTCTTCTTATTTACAACATTCAGGTTCAGCTTGTTGCCTTAACACACTATCTTAGATTCTCAAGATGGTAACATGATGTGACAACAAGTTTTATAGAGAATCTAACATCTTTTCTATTACATCCAGTATATTCTGATATTCAAACATTGATCATGGGGAACTTGTCATTCATTTAAGATGCACAGTTTTTACAGACCAAAACGTCATTCCTGGAAATAATGTTCATAGATTTGCCTCCTATTCAAAATTTGCGATACATAGTTCAAAGTTCAGCCCAACATATCCTTCGGTCATAAGCCGTATGATAGTAAGAAACATTATTTACATAGTTTCAGTAATGGTAAAAGACTAAACTTTTATCTCATGAATTTGTTTGTATTTGTAAAGCATAATTGTAAGAAATTATTAATAGTAGGTTTCCTTCCTCAAACATTTTACCTCGATGAATACTAAGCGCCAATTAAACTGTTTTACATTGTATTAGATGAGGATAAATTCAAAAATAACTCAATGCAAAATTGATAATGGCGTTGTAAACAATTAATAATTAACACCATAATTAATTTAATGATATAAATGTAAATACTAATTTAACCCTTCATCCTTAAACCAATAAACCAGGATTACTTGATGTCAAAGTTTTTTTAAAAGATGTCCCCATTTAGACTACCACAATGCGAATTGGTTATAGGACATTGAAAGCCTCCTGATTGCGAAATAGTAAAGAGTTTAATTAAATAGCTTGATATTCATAGTGATACGGACTCTTAAGTCTTTGCAACAAGATTCCTCGCCATAAACTATTAATACAACATATGGAAAGGTACAAACATGACATTATGATGTCAAGTTTTCGTAAAGTCTAGTAAAGGGATGCAGACATTATCTTTAAAAAAAAAAAACCCCCCCAAAAAACTATTTATATAACAAATGCAGGTAATATGGCGTTTGATGTAGTTTTGTAATCTGGTTTAAAGATGTTATATTCCAACTCAGTTAGGCATGCACTGTTTGCTTAAAGGTCAAAATCCACGGAAGACTTCTAAAATACGTGTCGTGGCTTCACTCATATTACATAAATCAAAGTTCTAATTTCAAAACTGCAATATGCAAGAATATACTAAAAACAATATGAAATATTGAGGAATATTCCAATTCTTAATACAATGTAAATAAATGGCTAAATGGTGTGCATCAAGCATAACAAACTATACTAATGATTTTCTAGCGGCCCTGGCGGCATTCTCAGCCAACCGTGGAAGGAGCTGCTGACGATATAATAGCTCCATTGGCTAGGACCGGTTAATGTGTGTGAGATCTTCAAACACTTTGCAATGTTTATTCTAGTGAGTAAGCTATTACTAACTCTGAGTTTGTTTAAACAGAAAGTGATGAAAATGTAATTAAACAATATGAAGGGATTTAAATTTAAGACGTTTCGCAAAGTGAAAAATGTTTGAAAGAAGTTTTATAATATGGAATTCATCTATGTAGTAGAAACTACTCACAGTATTTTTACATTTATTATCTATACTGATATAATAAAACAAAGCCGATATAAGTTTATAGTTTTTAACAATATAAGAAACTATTTACTTCTTTTGTGACAACTACTGACTGACAAAAAATGTTAATTCTTCTCAGTAATATTTGCAAAATCAATAAAAAGCCTACAAAGGCTGACACAAAAATTCAATTCCCACCTCGAACGCAGCAAATTTTATTATCGGCTTAAGCTTAATAATTTATGATATCTCTGAATCTGATGACAAGTTGCATCCAATAGTACGCTGTAATAGGATAAAAACTAACATGGAGCATCATGAATGAGAAAATAGATTTTATTCACTACTGGTAGCTATCAAATCATGCCTTTATGGTCCTTCCGGAGTCCGGAGTTACTTTGTCGTAGCGGTCAGGACAATGGGTCGTAAGTCGTCGACCGAGAATTCTCTTACAGTGAATTTAACTACATGTTTGGTTTTTACACCACAAATATATAAAGAGTAGGTGCCATGTGTTTATTTTAATTTTTTGTGACTATAATAATTAATTTGTAAGGAGTAGAGCTTGATACATATTTGCAAGTAGAAAACGTAAATCCAACTTTAATTTTCCAGATTTAAAATTCGAAGACGCAGATTTCAAGATATTTTGACTTACCTAAGGCACAAGGCGCATTCTTGTGACGCCTATTAAAATGACGATAACAATCGATCATATACATTTTTGTGGTTAATATGGTATAGCAATGTTTAAAACCAATAAACTACGTTGTTCTTTGTATAGCGTTTGCGGTTGACGGCTCAACAATTATTGAAGTAGCTGTATTGGAAACTGTGGAATGATAGGAATTTCTACCTACGTGACTGTTTCAAATTTTCTTTGCAACGGAACCTCGATTCAAAGAAACTATTGTGCACTAGTCGGTGCTAGTGACTTCGCGTGAACCTATGTGAATAAAATTTATATTTGATATCGGATTGTGCCTTGGTTTAATTGACAAGTAGAGCGAAATTTCGTAGGGGCGTTAAAATAATTAGCACTTATGAAATCTTAAGTCTTATCCTTCAAGCCAGAAATAACAGCTATACTGATTTTAATAGGTATACATGGCAAGTATACTTTCTAAATACTCTATTTGCGTCTTAATGTTCAATTCCAATTTCATATAATTTATATAGACCAGAGTATCCAATCTAAACAACATTAAACAAAGTGAAGATAAGAGAAAATCACAGAAAATGGTGTCAACGTTTTCATCTCATTATGAATCGTTATTATCGGCTGCGCACGCGCTGACAACATCCAAGTGTGACAAGTGTATTCAGTTGCGACCTTCGAGGGAAAGTGTTTTACCTCAATCTCGTCAACGGTCTTGATTTATTGTAAAGTTCCTTCATGGCAATAAAATCAATTTAATAAAAGCACTTTTTTAGGTAGGTATGTATTGATATTTTTTTATATTTAAATATTTAATAATAAAGGAAATGGCTCCACAAAACTTGACATTTAAATTTATAAGGGCTGAATACTATAAATTGATAAACCTACACAATAATCATTGATATTCGTAATTAAAAAAAGACAAAAAAGGTCCTATTGGTATTGAGGGACTTTTATAAGTTGTTTGTTATACATAGCGATTTCTGTGGGGTTTCCATATTAATAATCAATACCATATGCAAACTATTTGTTCCGTTCCTTAAGTTTATACACTTACCGGCAAAGCTTTTAGCGTTATCTATGAATTAAAACGAATGGTTATGGATGGCGGTATCTCTTAAAAAGTTATGTTCTAAATTTGAATAAAGATAAAGCTTTTAGTCGGGGAGTGAGAATGCTAAACGAAAGACAAAACACTAACGCGCTTCGTTTGATTGTGATTGGTCAATCGGATCGTGACGCATGTCTGTGATTAGAAGTGATGCTTGATGGTACGATGTCAACCAAATACAATAAAATTACATCTACGGCCTACATTTGAACTGTATTAAGGAATTCTACTACAACAAAATGCATTTTTGCATTATGAAAGTGTGATGATTAATTTGTGTTAATTATTATACAGTAACTTCGTCTTTCGTGTTCCTAACAACGGCAAGAACTGGCTATTACTACTTGAATGTTATTTTTCAGAACTTTGTGTAAACAATTTCACTACATAAACGGCTTATTAGAAAATGTTTCTTTTCCACAGATTTATTACAAAAAAACTTGCTTGTCACCGTAATACATATTTATAAGACGATATTGGTTCAAGTTGCGGAATATTCAAAGTGATTTTTGTGATGCAACTTTAAATATGCACATGAAATAGAAAGTGAATTAAATTATACTTTTAGAGGCAATTAGCCGCTTTCGTATGTTACAAAGTCATTTTAATCGGGAAGTTACTTTTAAGGCGAAGTCACTTTTACTGTTACTTCCTTTAGTTACATGAGATTATCAGAAAACGTTCATTTCTGCATGTTTTCAAGTAAGGAAAATTCGGCACCCATACGTAGTTTCAGGAGCAATATACATTCACAACCGTGATAGTGTCAAAGCATTCTTTAACTAATACAGTTTTACACATAAAAATAAAAAAAACCGGGCTACAACCTTTTAGGTCTGGGCCTCATATTTCTTTAGAAAAATAATTGGCGCACAGCCGGGAATCGACCACCCGACCTCAGGATTGAATGGCGCACGCTCAAGTGGTTATGCCAACACTGCTCATAAAATGTGTGTTTGACAGACACATTTAGTG